ACAATCAGCAATATATTTAAATTCATTTCTGTATCCTAAAGCCTGCTCATTATGTGGGTAATAATCAAAATCAAAGCCAATATCAGTAATCTACTACTGAAAGCTCGAAATCTGAGTTATGGTGCTGCTGTGGTATGTTTTTCATATATGGATCATCTAATCTGGATCAGGGTCTCTCTCAGATTTGCAGTCATTGTGTATTAAGCACAACAGCAATAGCACTCAGCCTTTGACATCAACATTGTTGCATTGACATCAATAGATTAAAAGAGCTGTGTGCAGCGGTCACTTTGAGTGCTGCATGCAACTCATCTGTTATTCTGGGACTATTAAATATGGTCCCAGGCGCTGACACAGGGGAGCTCCATGTATCAATTGATACCTGGGTCTCCCTGGTGTGAACAGTGCTCACATCAAGTTGTAGTACTGGGGAATTGAAATCACCATTTAAAAAGCTGAGTGCAGTGCTCACTTTGAGGGCTGCATACATCTCTGCGGTCAGCGTAGGGCTGCTAATTCTGGCCTCAGCTGACAGAGGGGAGCCTTAGGTATCTAATGATACCTGGGATTCCCCTGTTACCGTCAGGGAAACAGTCACTTCTGGTAAAATAAACCATGACAGAATCATTCCGTCACGGATCTTTAAGGGAAGGACAAACATGGCTGAATAATTCTGTCATTGGGCCTTAACGAGTAAATGTAATAAAGGGTTGAATTGTCTTTGAATGTTGGTGACAGTTGTTTAATTTGAATCCTGAAGACTAGAGAAAGCCAAGGATATTTAACCCATTAAGGACACATGACATGTCTGACATGTCATGATTCCCTTTTATTCCAGAAGTTTGGTCTTTAAGGGGTTAAAGGAACGAGGTTTGATAGGAGCAGTGGGTCTTGAAGCTAATCCTGGCGGCAGCATTCATTACCGATTGTAATGGGACAATAACGATACTGCAAAGTATTGTATGGAAAATCATTCGTCGTGAACAAATTACTTACCCGGTCTCCATATCTTTTCCAGTCTCCATCTACCTGGATTTTAATCTTACAAGTCTCACTCTATCTATACCAGTCTCCATATATTGTGTGGAAATAACAAATACTTGGGAACTGTGAGACCCCTTTTCACATCAAATATCTAAGGAAGAAGTTTCAGGTAATATTGAAGGAACACTATAGGCACCCAGACCGCTTCAGTTCATTGAAGTGGTCTGAGTGCAGTGTCCCTAGGTTTTTTAACCCTGAGCAGGTAATAGTTGCAGTATTTCTTTAGGGTTAACTCTACCTCCAGTGGCTGTCTACCATTAGGTCTCCCCCGCTGGCTGCGTTGGCAGGGGAGGAGAGAAGGTGGACCCGAGCCAGCAAGCGCTGGACCCAGGTAAGTGACAGAAAGGCTGAACTGTGTTGGAGAGGAAAGCTATAGTGCCAGGAAAACGAGTTTGTTTTCCTGGCACTATAGTTTCCCTTTAATACAAGAAAAGCTTAGAGTGACCATGCATAAAGTAAAAATATGTTTTAAAAAATCTAGATTATTTTAAATGGCAAGTAATGTGTAGAGTAGGTAAATATTTTTCTTGCTGAGTGTTCTTGCAAAAGTAAAGCTGTTCTCTACAGTGGGAAATGCATTTTTCTTGTGTTTTTTGTTTTCATTTTACCTTTCCATTTTTTCTCTTTTTGTCTATGTTGCAATTGTAATGGAAAAAAATGGAAGTCAAAGGTTCAAACAGATTGTTACTTTCTAGCAAACTATACTACTCTCTGTGTTATCGTACCTTTATCTCCCATCAATAATAGATTATAAAAAGCTTTGAGTGCTCATGAGGATACGTTTTTTTCTCTGAGGTCTAGTGTAACAGGTTTTGTGTTATAAGGTTCATTAATCTTGGATTCAATGAATTAGCTTCCAGTGATATATTGTAATTGGTATAATTGTCTAATAGCGGATATATGGCAATTAGTACAGGAAACCCTTATTTATCATGCAAAAGCAAGCCAGAAGCTTCTGAAATTATACAGAGAAAAGAAATATACAGAAAGGAATGGATACTGCGTTATGACTGGACTTCAGAAAAACACACATTCATCTGCTGTAGAATAATTGTTTTTCTCTAGTATACATAAAGATGGAATCTATGGCAAGCGACATGCAAATAATTGCTTCAAAAAAGTTCCAGTAACATTGTGATTGGGTAACTCAAGACAAGGTACTGCAGTAAGTAATGAAAGGTAATTTAAACAAAGCCTCAGGGCCTGATGGTATTTGCCCACGAGGACTTAAGGAGGGAAGTGTGCAAATAAGCAAACCTCTGTTTTTAGTCTTTCAGGATTATTTTATTTCAGGAATCACTGGAGAAAGGCAAGTGTGGTTCCTTTATTCAAAAAGGGTTCAAAATCTCTGCCTGGAAATTATAGCCATGCAAGCTTAACTTCTGTGGCTGGGAAAGTATCTGAAGGGTTTTTATAAGATAATATTCAGGAATTTATTGGGAATAACAATGTAATTAGCAGAAATCAGCATGATTTTATGAAACATTAATCATGTCCACCTAACTTAATTGAATTTTACAAAGAAGCAACTAGAAGTATAGATTAAGGTGTTGAGGTGGATGTGATCTAATTGGATTTTGCAAAGGAATATGGTTCTACACAATAGGTTAGTGTTAAAAGAAATTGGACTAGATTAAAATTCTTATTCTAAGGTAGAACATTGGCTTAAAGACAGAGTACAGAGAGTTTTCATTAATGGTACATTTTCAAGCTGGACAAAATTGGTAAGTGATGTCCCTCAGGGTTCAATTATGGGACTACTTCTATTTAACATATTTATAAATGATCTTGAAATCGACATCAAAAGTCACGTGTAATTGTTTGCAAATGTTGCAAAACTAGGAAAGGTAATACAGTGTAAGCAGGATATTACTTCTTGGGAGCAGAATTTACATAGATTAGAGGAATGACAGATTCAATTTAATGTAGACAAATGAAAAGTTATGCATTTGGGGGTAAACAATGCACAAAAAACTTACACCCTAAATGGTAGTGACTTAGGAAAAACACCACATGAGAAGGATTTGGGAATTGTTATAAATAACAAACTGGGCAACAATGTGTAATGTCAATCAGCAGTTGCCAAGGCCAGTGGCCTGTAAGGCATTGTCATGTATTAAATAGGGCATTAATTCTCAGGCTGAAAATATAATTCTGCCTCTTTATATATCAATGGTGCAATTTTGGGCACCTGTTCTAAAGAAGGATATGGCACTCGAAAAAAATAAAATTAATATGAGAAATAATTGAGAAAAATTTAGTTATGAAGAAAGGTTAACAAATGTAAAACTGTATAGTTTATAAAAACAGCATCTCAGAAGGGATATGATAACATTATAAAATATATTCAGGGTCACTACAGACATTGTCTGGAAATATATTCCTTAATAGGGCTACACAAAGAACAAGGTTACCCACTTAGGCTGGATGAAAGGAGATTTAGACTAAGGCACAGATATGGGTTATTTACAGTAAGAACAATTTTCTGGAATTCTGTTCCTGAATATGTGGTTTAATCAAAGTCTGTACAGATGTTTAAACATCAGTTGGATGAATACTTGGAAAAACATAATATTCATGGATATTGTTTGTAATATGTGGGATAACAGCTTCTTGATCCAAGTAGAGATCTGACTGCCATTCTAGGGTTGAGATTGAATTTTATTCCTAGTTTGTTGAAAAACTGCAAAGCGGTTCAAACTGTTTTTACTTTTTGCGTTCTTATGGATCAACGGGTGAAATGGATGTGAGAAGGGCTGAACATGATTGAAGCAAGTGTTTTTTTTTCAGCCCATGTAACACACTAAAATACAAATTAATTAAAGCACCATTTCTATTTTATATTGCTCTATAAATAAGACATTAAAAAATATGCATTCTGCATTTATCCTTTCTCTAACAACATATCAAATAATAAAATTTTGATTTAAAAAGCAAGATTTGAATTGGACCATGCATTGTGCTACTTAAAGAGATGAAGAAGTCCTCATTTTTGAGGAATTAGCATAGGTTTCTTGGCGAAACAAATTCATTTTGGCCTGAATTGATTCGTCTGATGAAAACATTTTGTTTGGGTGGTCCGAAATTCGCTTTTGTCGCACTTTGATTTTTCTGGAAAAACTATTTGGATGAACTAAAAGGGTGTGAAAATGGGCCAATTAGTGTACTACAAAATTCAGTGACTTACCTGAATCCAGCACTGATGTCCCTGGGAGCTAAGTCAGGCTCTGCCCAACTTAGCCGGCGGGGGAGACCTTATCCGCATGCGTGGCAGTGGCTGCGCTCACATTAGGATTTCCCCATAGGAAAGCATTAATCAATGATTTCCTAAGGGTAAAATCTGACACTGGAGGACCTTGTGCAGAGTGACACTGCACCCAGACCACTTCAATGAGCTGAAGTGGTCTGGGTGCCTACAGTGTCCCTTTAAGCCAAAGTTCTTTGGTGTTTTGAGTAACCCTTTAACAATCAAACCTAAAATAATATATTGTTTTCTTTAATTTCTGTCCTCTATTTGCCATACATTGTTGACAGTGGGACTATGCCATTAGTTAAATAATGTTGTTATAGTGGCTCACACTGAACATCTTATGGCTGTAAGGTGTTGCTCTACAGCATATCGTTATCATTTATGGTACGTAGTACAGAGGGTAAGCTGATGAGGTTAAATTACAAGGCACATCTGTAAACAAGATTCTGTAATTACTTAAGGTAAATTGCATTAATAAAATTAACTGAGCGTGCACCGCCACACTTTAATTAAAAAAAATTGGATAATTTAACAAAATTTATGACTGAATCCAAAGCTAGTTTTCTCAGCTGCAGAATAATAATGTTAGTAATGTTACCTCTCTCTATATCAGATTTAGGATATTAGTCTGTATTCATTCTGACGCCATTTAAAAATTGGATATAACAGTTGATGATTTGTAGAAAATGATCAAGGCACTCCAATAGATTCCAATTCTTAAGGCAATTTATTTGGACCAGGAACTTTGTAGTTCCTGGTCCAAATAAATTGCCTTAAGAATTGGAATCTATTGGAGTGCCTTGATCATTTTCTACAAATTATCTACTTTGGTCCTTCTGGGTACTGGGACTTTTCAAGAGCACCCTGGATTCCTCTGTGAGGGGCTGAGTGCACTTCCAGCTTTGATTATACGATAACAGTTGATGATGTCCTAAAATATAAAGGATGAGGCTTACTCCAGTGTCAGGTAACACTGATTGCTAATAATAGAAGAAGAAAAAAAGGTTTACATCAGCACTCTGTTGTTAAACAATAAAAATTAGTAATCCAAGTTTTGCTGCAACCAATGAGTGTACAGTGCTCAAATGCAAAAAACAAAACAGGGTGCAAGAGAATACTGAGAATGGACAACAGCTCAAGTTGCTTGGCCTTCGGTGTGTCCCCACTTATCTTTTGTCTTTAGAAATAAAACCTAGGTCATTTGCATATCAGACTGATCACACCCAACAGGACAGTACAGATCCGAAATGCAGGCCTTCTCTCTCTGCACGTGCGATAGAGTAATCCCAGACGATTGTTTCAGCCTTGTTAGGCCTTGTCAGTGAGTTATAAAGGATGTCCCTCTAGGCACCGTGAGCAAGGGGTCCACGTCTGGATTACCCTTTAAACTTCTTTATAGTGCTCAAATGCACAAAATAAACATAGAGTATCTAGATAATACATGTGGTGTGCATATATATATGACGCTAAACAGCAATTTGAAAGTAATAGTTTTATTTAAAAACACCTCACTTAGGCAAAAACAATAGGGGTTTAGTTACAGTATATGATCATATTTTGCTTATTCTTGGCAGGTCGTACTCTAGCAAACTAATATTTGGGAGTCCAGGCCAACTCCCCGGTTTTGCACCCCTTCCTGTCACAGGTGCCTCATTCAAGGGCCCAATTTAATCTTGACCTGCAGAGAGTCCCAGGAGGAAGGATTCCCCAAGTAAGTGGAATTATCTCATAAGAGCAGGCATTAGGCTGCAAGAGTAGGAGGTGTTTCCTTATAATTTCCCAAAAAATTTAAAGCGGCACTGTCATGGCCGAATCCATTTTTTTTTAACTCCCCTCCGGACTCCACTACATCTAATTGTCCACCTAGTTACCTCCAAATACCCCTAAGCCCTTCATATATCCTAGGTCCTTGGCGCCACCATCTTTGTTTGGGTAGATGAAGTCCCTGTGGGACACATTATCTGCCCACACTAGATAGCGCTGATGAAGTGTTTAACTGGGCATGCGAACGGGAATTTCATCTATTCATTCATTCATCAAAAAGACGAATAAATGAATAGAAATTTCAAATGAATGAACGAAGATCTCTTCGTTCGTTCGTTTGGTTTATTACAAGGAGGGAGCTACTGGCTCGCAGCTCTCTGCTTGTAAAATGTAAAACTAGAAGCTCACTCTATGGGGGTCGATATGACCCCCATAATAGCATAAGGGAGATTTAAATCTCCAGAATGCCCCTACTCACTAAGCCGCGAATAGGGGCTTGACTACTGTTGTAAAAAAAAAAATAGTGTCCCCCCTGAACCCTGACCCGTGCCCGCAAGTGGGGCTATAAAAGTAAATGGGTTCACATAGTGTCCCCCGTGGCCCCCTCCCATGAGTGGCGGGTGGGGGCCCTAAATGAAAATGTAGGCGGGTGGGGGCCCTAAATGAAAATGTTGGGGGGGACCTACTGTCCTCCCCCTGGCCCCCACCCATGAGCCTTGGGTTTGGGGCCCTAAATGAAAATGCCAACCAATCAGAGTGCTCTGACAGGTAAATGAAGAGACTGACATGTAAGTCTCTACATTTACCTATCACAGCACTCTGATTGGTTGCTTTCAATCAACCAATCAAAGAGTTATGAGTCAAATTACACAGCATGGGAAAATTCCAAAGAACTTTCTCACGTTGTGTAAAATGACACAGAGCACTCTGGTTGGATTTGAAGCCAACCAATCAGAGTGCTGTGACAGGTAAATGTAGAGACTTACATGTCAGTCTCTTCATTTACCTGTCAGAGCACTCTGATTGGTTGGCTTAAACTTTATAAGCCTTTCCCCACCCTGCAGAGCTCACCTTGCACTGTACCCTCGCTGGGTGAAGATGGATGTAGCAAACTCACCCCTTTAAGAGAGTTTGCCATGAGCTTTTGCAGGGGCCTGCTTGCCTGACTCCTGCCATGTGACTATAGCCCTGGGGGTATTGCCCTTTAAAGACATTATTTGGGCATATTGTATTTTACTGCACTGTTTCTGGCCCTTTAAGTACTTTGGGAAAAGACCTGCAGTTTTGGCTCGGCACTTCGGATGCCGCTGAAGTGCTGAAGTAGTCGAAGTGGCCGCCATATGAAAACTGAACACATGGCGGCAGCCATTTGAAATCATTCGAACACGGTCAGCGGTGTGTGTCGTCAAATCTATCGAACTGTTTTCGGGTACCCCCATTTGCACAAATGACCTGTACCTTCTCCTCCACTTCGACACTGTGGCAGAAGACTAAGTCCCGTTCGAAGATTTGAATGCTCGTACGAATGTGACTTAGCCATTTTTCAGTGAGAAATTGACCGACCGCACAGCCCAAATCTATGGAACTGTTTCGGGCAGGAAAATGTGCTTGCGGTTGGTCATAAAGGGACCTCCACCAAATGTTTAACCCCTGGACGGATTCATGTGATTTTTACATATGTTGCTCCCCAAGTTATGCTGATCACAGAAATATATATATTTTCTTCGTATCTGATGTAAAATCAGGGAGTTATAAAAATGTATAAAAAGTTGGATTTTTCAGCTTGGAGATAATTGAGTAGATACAGTAAGTAACTGAATTATCTCCCAAGTAGAGGGGAGGGAATATGTGGGATGTAACCATTGTTTGATTGGCTAATGCATAATTGTCTGTGGGTGTCTCCCTTGCATGGGAGAAATGCTTAAAAACAGGGTACGTGGAATAAAACATCAGTTCTGCTCCTGATACTGTGTGTCGTCCAGTTATTGGAAAAGGTGATGGGATATTATTGGATTGTCTTACTGATCGTGCCTGCTACTATTATTTTATTTATTACTGTGGAGGTTTCTCCTGGGTTAACTACTTGTTCCTGAGCCACACTAGGATTACCAGCGGAAATAGTCTATGAAAGACCAGCGTTCCGCTACAATGGATTACTTTTTTAGCATCTGGCTTTTTTTTTCATCTGATTATTGTTTGCGCTGGGGTTTTTTATTTCATTTTCCGCGGGGGAACAGGCTGCTCTCTGTTTACTAAAGCGAGTGGGGCAGATTAATTACTAATACTAATTACTAATACTAATAATAAGTAATTTTCACTTAGTGTTAGTAAAGTTGGCTTAGAAAGACCAATCTTGGTCTTTCAGCCTTTTGGTAGATGGCGCCCTGATGCCGTGGGAATTAGGGAGCCATCTACTAAGCGGCTCCAAGATGCAGCCGCAATCAGATTAGAATTTCATTCATTCGAATGAAATTTCGAACCGAACAAAAGTCCAGAATTTCGTCCTAACATAAATGGACAAACTGGTCTCATTCTGTTAGGATGAAATTCAGTAGTTTTGCCGGCGTTCGGGAATACGGAAAGGAGGCATTGCGAGAACATGGAGGAAAGGTGAGAATTGTGGGAAAATTGCTTTGAAAGCTGGTCAAAGCTGGTCAAAGCTGGTCAAGTGTAGGAAACCTCCATAAGACAAAGTTGTCCCTACTTTGTCTTATGTTTTAAAAAAAAACTAGAGCAGACAGGAAGAAATAAAGAACAGATCGTGACAGAGGGATAGAAGAGGAAGCGATTAAAGAAAGATAAGTTCGGCATGACAGTGTCACTTTAACACAGATTACCACAATATTATATGTTCAGGAGGAGATTGACAGCCAGCGGACCACAGATACGTTACCCTCGGAGCACTCCTGGCACCAGAACCACTACAGCCACTGTAGAGTGTACCTTTAACACACGTAAATCAAGCATAGGTGGTCATTCACTAAAATATCTCTGTTGATAGTTCTCAAACACAGCCCAAAATGTGTTATTGGCAGCAATAGTATCCATCCCACTCAAAGAACCATGTGGTGCTCCCCCAAGTTTAATCTTGGGACCTATCTACACTCCAAGTATGATTACAAATTATTTATTCATTGCTGACTGGACATCAGTTATGCACATTTTACAACCTGAATAAATATTACAGCAAAATTCCTTTAATAGAATGTCAAAACTACCTCGATGATTTTTGGAACAAAACACAGATTTCATAAGCTAAACAATCCCCAGGTGAACTACAAACTGACCTCCAATTATAACATGGCCACATTCATTTCCAATAAATGTCTCTTATGAGACTAGATCATCACCACTCTTTTCATAATGGTAAAAACTCCAAGTCACTGTTAAACCGAGGAGAATCAGGCAGAGACAGGTGCTATAGCCTAAAATTATGCACCCTGTCGCACTGCAAAAATTGTACCAAAGGACACGATTAGAGAACTTGTGGAGTCCCTGTCTCGACGTATCAGAGCTGGTTCGGCAGCACAAGGTGGTTAGGCAGGTGGTTTTAATGTTGTGGCTGATCAGTGTGTATTTATATATATATATCTATATACAGTCAAGCAGAAAAGAAAGTACACCCTCTTTGATTTCTTCGGCTTTACATACCAGGACATAATAACAACCATCTGTTCCTTAGCACGTCTTAAAATTAGGTACATACAACCTCAGAACACATTACAACACATTACACCTTGCACCGTGTCTTGATTTAACAAAAATAAAGCCACAATGGAGAAGCCATGTGTCAAAAACAAAGTAAATCTCATGATTCAGTTGCTTGTAGAACCACCTTTAGCTGCAATAACTTGAAGTAATAGTTTTCTATATGACTTGATCAGTCTCTCACATTGTTGTGGAGGAATTTTGGCCCACTCTTCTTTTTATGTTGTGGCTGATCAGTGTATATTGTATTATTGAGATTAGTAGATTATTTATATATTTAGTTTGCACCCTTAATCATAGCCCCTGATCACAGGAATCTAAGTCCACATCAGGATGTAGGTCCTCTTTTGGCAGGATGTCATTACTGCAATTGTGGCTGACAACAGTTGGGCAACAGTGTTTGAGCACCATACTGTAAAGGACACAGCATGCAACAATGAGTTTAGCAAACTTGATAGAAAAGATACCCACCAGACTTGCCCAGACATTGAAACCTGGACTTGAACACTCCAAAGATGTGCTAGATGACCATACATGCAGCCTGGTGGTCCTCATGGGGCCTATGTTCTCATGGGGTACATGGATTCCTCACAAGGCTCATGAGCCAAAGAGGATGGAGATTAAAAAAAGGACTACAACAGGAACTGCACAGTGAGGATGAGGACAACCAACCAGGGACCACTGGACTATAGACCCAAACTGCTGCAGTGCAATAAAGTTGATCTATTTCTGATTTGTGTATTTAATTAATCTACATTTTTTTTAAATTCCTGGCACTGGACCAAGGTATGTAGTTCTTAAACTATTTTACAACTGTTTGCTAATGGTACGACAACTTACCAGGGGTCCAGAAGGGCAGGATTACCTCCTTTATGTTTGTGCTACTGGCAGGGCCGGACTGGCCCACCAGGATACCTGGAAATTTCCCGGTGGGCCGCAGCACTTGGGGCCTGGAAGAGAGCCCTATTACCTATAACTAATATAATTTGGTAAGTTTCCCCTCAGACTGTGAGAGTCCAAGGGAAAAATGGAGGGAGAAGCTTGGGGCCGGTGCGGCCGCATTGAGGATGTGGCGGCCAGAGGGAGCTTTCTGGCACTCAAACCCCGCCTCTGATCGCAAGCTCCATCCTGACCCAAGCTTTCCCATCGATTGCAAACTCCACCCCGATCTCAAGCTGATCTCATGTCTGCAGTGAGCATGTATGTGTGTGTCAGTGAGCATGTCTGCAGTAAGCATGTATGTGTGTGTCAGTGAGCATGTCTGTAGTAAGCATGTATGTGTGTCAGTGAGTATGTCTGTAGTAAGCATGTATGTGTGGGTCAGTGAGCATATCTATAGTGAGCATGTATGTGTGTCAGTGAGCATGTCTGTAGTAAGCATGTTTATGTCAGTGAGCTTGTAATGAGCATGTGTGTGTCAGTGAGCTTGTCTGTAATGAGCTTATGTGTGTCAGTTAGCTTGTCTGTAGTAAGCATATTTGTGTATACCAGTGAGTTTGTCTGTAGTAAGCTTGTGTATGTGTGTGTGTCAGAGAGCT